CACAGTCACGGATACACACACGCACGCGCACACACACAGTCACGGATACACACACGCACGCGCGCGCACACACACAGTCACGGATACACACACGCGCACACACACACACACACGCACACCCTGAGCATCAAACGTCTAAAGCGACTCGGATTTCCCAGACACGCCTGGTCCTCCACGCCTCTTCCTTTGCCAACCTGTTCCTGCCACACCCTAAACGCCCTTCCCTCTCATTTCCCTCAGGAGCACCAGCGCATCCTCAGGCACAACAATATTTATATTTTGGGGACACACCTAGCCTGAAAAACTATTTCTTGTCTGAAATTCAAATTTAACTCGGCCTCCTGTGTTTTATCTGGCAAATCTACCCACTTAAGAAGATGCAGGGTTGGGCGCCTGGGTGGCTCAGTCGGTTAAGCGACCGCCTTCGGCTCAGGTCATGATCCTGGAGTCCCGGGATCGAGTCCCACATCGGGCTCCCCGCTCGGCAGGGAGTCTGCTTCTCCCTCAGACCCTCTTCCCTCTCGTGCTCTCTATCTCTCCTTCTCTCTCGAATAAATAAATAAAATTAAAAAAAAAAAAAAAAAGAAGATGCAGGGTTCACACAAGCCCAGAGGCTGAGCACCAAGGGGTCGAGGAGGAGTCCTCCTGCATCTCTCTGGCTCCCTGGTGTGGGCAGGACCCGGAGGCCACCCCAGCTGACTCTCCGAGCCCCAGGATCCTGGTCAGCAGCTTCCTGACATTCTAGACTCACAGAACCCACCCTTTTCAGGGCTGAGAGGGAACTGCAAGATCATCTAGTCTCGATGAATATGGGGGAAACTAAGTCACCTTGTGGGGACTGCCTTGCCCAAATTCACAAAATGCAATGCCTCTGTCTTCATGTGACGCAGCTGGGGACTTTTCCCAGACGTTCTGAAAACCTTCAAGTCCTACCCAGCCCCATATCTCCCGACAAGAAGGAGGGCTATCTAGCCCGCTGGGCACCAGCCGACTCTGGACCAACGCTCGGGGAGTGGGTGGGTTCCCCACCCCACCCCTTCCCTGAGCAGGTGCCCTGCCGCTCTCAACGTGTGATGACACGTTCCAGCTCTGCCTGCCAGTACTTCAAGTACTTCTAAATCAACTGTAAAACAAAAAATAAATATTTTTTCAAATAACTAAACCCTACTGCTAACAGCAGTTTTGCTCCTGACACTTTCCAGCCTCAAACCCTCTATGAACAGAGAGCCCCGGGACAGCAAAGTCAGCCTCGTGACACTGGGCCACCCCCACAGCTGCCCCCCCACCCCCGCCCGGCCGCCAGGGTCTCTCTCACCACCCCCAGGGGTCTCTCGGCCACAGTGCCTATCTCGAAAGGCTGTCTTCACAGCATCTCGATCAAGTTGCATTCTGCTCTTTCACTTCTATTATCTTACCCTTTCTCTCTGTCATCACACTTAGGTTTGAAAGGTGACATAAATTCCAGTGAGTTCGCTTAAAGCCCCTGCTGAACAGGACCTTTGGGCTGCTCCCTATTTTGCTTCTTTCTGCAACAGGGTGAGGACGGCCTGGGGCACCTGCACTGTCCTTTCCGACCGTCTCCCGGGAGGGAGGTTTCAGGGGCAGCGGCCACAAGCTCCCCAAGCTCAGAAAACAGACTTGCGGAATTCCCCCGTCCTACGGCCACCCCCCCTCCTTTGCAAAAGGACCCAGGCTACTAAATAAATAGCAGCAGTTGGAATCTCCTCTTAACATCACCATTAACCTGAGATGTGCGGTCATGAGGGGAATGGGGATGCCTGCCGAAGTTTCTGGAAGCGGGGGCAGGCAGCTGTCAAGGATGAAGCAGAAGGCAGAAGCAGATGACAACTTGGAAAGCAAGACAGCGCCCAGACCTGCCTGTTGGGCTCCTCCCGTGCAGACCGCCACCTCCCCTGCCCTGCCCGCACCCCCAGCCCCACTTGGACACGGCACCTTGTGGGAGTTCCTCCTCCGCCGGCGGGCCTGTCACCTTAGGGAGCTGCAGCAGGTTGTACAAGGACTCTGACTCCATTTGTCCCTTGCTGGCCCTGGGGGTGCAGGGAATAGAAGGCTATCATCCTCGACCTCTCTGTGGTTTGGGGGGGGTCTCATTGCTCGTGCCAGCATGGGAGGGGTCAACATTTACAGAGTGTGTGCAGCCCCCTCCGCGTATTCACTATGGGCAGGGGGCCGGGCTCACCCCCCGCGGGACCGGGCAGATTCAGATGCGGGCCCTGGCCTCTTTCCTGTTCCCCTAGGCTCACTTCCTCTCCTGCTCAGCCACCCTCTTCACCCCCTGCGTCTTCCCCCAGCGTTTCTGGTCCCAAACAGACATTGGGGCTGGGGTGTCATGCATCAGAATGGTGGCCAGCTATAGCCCCCAGGGAGGCCCCCAAAGATGGGGGCATTCACCGGGGCTGCAGCCTCCCCATCACCCTAGCAGCCAGCCCAGGGACCAGGGCACTGCTGGCAGCTCCATCCTGCCCTGAGGCGAGGATCCAACCCTACCCCCTGGATAGGCCTCCAAGCTCCTTTTGGACAGGATTCAGTTCAAAGGACACGGCCACAGAAGAGGGAAGAGCCTTGCCTGGGGGTTAGGCGGCCCAGGTTCCCGGCTGGCTCCTCCTCATTCTCGTTTTGTGACTCTGGACAAATCCCCTCCCTTTCTGGTCCCAAAGATCTTTACAGACAGGGCCGGACTCCGAGCTCACCGAAGGCACTGGAGTGGACAGAGCTAGAACGACCTCAAGCCGTCAGCCGCCCCGGGCAGCCCCTCCCTGCCCCAGGCCTCAGTTTCTTCATCTGAAACCGGGTGCCCTCTCTTCCCCACACGCTGGATGAAGCTCAGGGGAGGTGGCAGGGGGAAAGGGAGGCTGCCCGCTTGGCTACGCAATGGGATGGTGCCCGTCTGCCTGTCCGGCCCCAGGAGGGAGGAATGGCTGCTTCTAACCCTGGGGGACCGGAGGGGCAGAGGGGCTCAGGGCTTCGCCTGGCCCGACTCCCTCCCTGTGCAGCCTCAGCTGAGGCTGTGTCCTCTGGGGTCCGTTTCCACAAGCCCCCGGGAACCCTCCCTCACTGAGCTCTGACTCCCGAGCTTTAGAGAGAGGCAGAAAGCCCCAAGCCGAGGGCTCCCGTGAGCTAAGATGCCAGGAGGACTCACCCAGCTGCCTCCTTCACACCAGGGAATGAAGCTTGTAGCTCGTGATCACTGGCTTCCAAATAAAAGTTAAGTTCCTAGCCGTGGGGGGCTGGAGGGGCCACGCGCTGCTCACTTCCTCCAGGCCTGTGGCTTCCGCAGGGCCTGCTCGGAGGCGTCTGCATGCAGCTTCCTCCTCGCTGGGCCGCAGGGCCTGCTGCCTCCACAGCCCCACCGGAAAGCTGTGTCCCCAGAGCCCCAACCACCCAGCCACACCTCCTGGCCCTCAGATGCCTCGCAGGCAACTTGGATCTGCAATTTTTTTCCCTCTCTCCCTCTCCCCTCCCCACCGCGCAGCCCAAGCCAGTCCCTCCCCGGCCTCACCATCTCCAAGTGGCCAGCACCAGCCAGCCAGCCGCCGAGGCCAGAGACCCCCACCTCCCCACCCCACCCCCAGAGAACTTCAAGCCCTGCCTTGGGCCATCCCTCCACCCCCACGCCCCACCCAGCCAACCCCTCTTCCCCTTTTCCTCTGGCCTGGACCACAGCCTCTGTGCTCGAGCCCCACAGCCAGCCTCTTACACCCCAACCCCTGCCCGGGATGCTCATGTCCCAGACCCCTCAAAACCCACCAATGGCATCCCATCGTTCTTAAAATAAAATCTACTCTGCACAGCCCAGCGTATGTCCTTGATGGACCTGCTGGCTAGATCTCCATCCCCATCTCCAAACCTCCCAGCCATGTTGACCGACTTTCTGCTTCCTGAACACACCACATGCCTTACTATTTCCTCTGTCTAGAAGCCCCTGCCCCATCTTTTAAAGGGGCTAAGTCCCTTTATCATCAGCTTAAATGCATCCTCCTTTAGGAAGCCTTCCCTAACTGCATCATCTAAAAGCGGTCGTCTTTAGGATTCCTTACCACAGCTCTGAAGGTCTTCTGTGTCCCAGTGCCTAGAACAAGGCCTGACACCAAGCGGACTCTATGCATAAATGCAGCCGGCTACTGTTGCCTGGACGATGAAGTTCTTCCAGAGAAGAAATGGGCCTTGATGGAGGAGTAAGAGTTTGCCCGCTAAAGATGTGTGAGGATGTTCCAGGTGGAGAGAACAGTGCGCGCAAAGGTGTTAAGGAGTTTGAGAAGGAGAGGCCCCAGGACGGCAGGAGAGTCGGCGATCAGCTCAGACCCAAGCTGGGGTCCTGCACTTGAACCGTCCTGGGCCAGGATGAACCTGTGAGTATTCACGGCAGCAGCAACTGTGCTGAGGGACCAGGAAGCCAAGCACCCTGTCTATGCTGACAAATCAGGCAGAAAAGGGGCAGAGCATGTGGGAAGCAGGAACAAGGGCACACGTGAGCAGGAAAGCGGTGTTGTTCCTGCTTCGTAAGCTCCCAAGAACTTACAAAAATGACAGAAAGCATTAGTGATTATTACTGCTAATACTTATTGAGTAACTGAAGATGCAGCAGACATCGCTCTAAGGGCTTTAATTTTACTGGGGGCAGCCTCTGCGGCAGGTGCTGCTTTCATCTCCGCCTGCAGATGAAGACACAGAAGGGCAGGATTCTGTTTCTGGCCCCCCCACCCCCGCCGATGGCCCTGTGCGAGCCCGGGGTTTGTGGCGCAGTGGGCCGGGAAGCAGCGGTGCCCACACACCCACTTGGTTTGGGCAAGCGGGGCGGGCGCGGCGTGGCCCGGGGGTCAGTGTGCTGCCAAGTCCCCGCGGAGATGGCATGTCCGAATGGGGGACTGAAGAGTGCTTAATAAAGCACTGGTTGGGGCCAGGTTAAGGGAACCCAGAAGAGACAGTGCTGCCCCCCGAGACGGGCAACTCCAAAGCCCAGCAAGGCAGAGGACAGGGAGGACACCAGAGCCCAGAAAGAGATGGCTGGAGCTCTGAGCCGGCCGCCAGCCAGGGGCTGTGGTAGACGGGGGCACGCCAACCCACGGTGGCCCGGCAGAGGGACAACTGACACCCTGATCTCGCTCACTCTCCCCCACCCTCCTTCCTGCTGGGGCCTCCCACTGGCCAAATCCCAGGGGAAGCCAGCGGCAAGAACGCCCGCCCAGGCAGTCGGTGAGGCCAGGGCCGCAGAAACCGCGGCGGGGGGGGGGGGGGCGGGGGGTCCTCAGGGGAGGTCGGGAAACATCTGGCCCAACGTGGACAACTCGGGAGACAGCAGCGGCTTGGCAGCCTCCTGGTCAGGGCAGAGGCCGCCGGCACTGCGGGGTCATCGGACGAGTCCTTGATGGGGGGTCTGTTCCCAGCCTGGGGCTCCAGCCTTCCGGTGGCTCTGGGGTCACCTCATCTCCGGTATTAGACTCCTTCCTGTTCAAGCAACTATGGCAACGCCAGTCATCTGCCACTGGACCTGGGCTAATAAAGGATGTGTTAGCAGTCGAGGAAGGCAGATCTTAAGTGAGGGAGGGATGATGGATCTGGTGAGGGAAACTGGAGGGAAATTTCCACCGCGGAAAGTGTGGGATAACGAACTGGCCAGAAGTCGCACGGGAATGACGTGGCTCTGGACCAGGCGTCCCTCCGAAGCCGGGTCCTTCCCAGCAGCTGTTTGGGATCCTTAGTATTTTTACAGCACCGAGGCCTCACTCTGCCGGTTAGTGGTACTTCAAGAGTGAGTTTTAACGCTGCGGACAGGAAAGTTCGACGCCCCTGAATCCCCCCATGACTTCTGCAGGGAAGGTTTACAGCATGGCCACCGTCGAGGGTCACCCGGGCCCCTCGTCCTGCAGCGCATGGGGCACACCATCCCCCTGGAGCGGGCTGTCCCGCCGGCGCCACCAGCCCCCCGGTATCCCCCGTTCTGCTTTGGACCCAGACAGATAGGCCAACTCGCCCAGCTCGGCTCATCCTTACTGCACATCCGCTGCTGTGACTCAGCTTTTCCCCCGGGGCTCCCGCCCAGGAACCCCTCGACCTCAGCCCCCATGGGGCCCGTCCCCCACACTGGGCTGCACGCCAGCTCCTGGGCCCACTTCCCGGTCGGACTGGAAGCTCCTGGGCCCAAGCACTGGGCTGGCGCGACCAAGGGCCAGCAAGCGCATGAAAGCAAAAGGAGACACAGCCCCGCTCTCTCGAGGTCTTTATTGGAATAAGTAACAGCACACTGTTCACACCGCACAGCACTTCCCTAACCAAGGCTCTGGCTCCCGGGAGGTCAGGTTCACGGCAGGGCCCACGGCAGACCCGGGGAGCCGCGGCTTCCCGCTGCCGGCCAGGCGGACGGCATTGCCAACACAGCCAGGGGTTTAGCGGCTTTTATTCGATATCCAGACATCCAAAGGCGCCACTGCTTAAAACAGCTAAAAAGACAATGAAACACGGGCCCGCAAAAGGGGGTGAAAAAAGCATTCAGTTCCTTTAAAACACAGCTCTTTGTCACATCCAATTAGGACATTAGGGCTCTGCATGCATAAGACCCTGTGGTTGTCACGGGGGAAGCAAAGCTGCAGGTAGCCTCCCCATGGCCAGTGGGAGCCTCAAACAGCCGCTCCAAGAAGGATAAAAGGTGACCATCTCACGGCCCCTGCCTGGGCCCTCACTTGGGCCCTGCAGACCCTGGGCCGGTGCCACTCGGGCGCAAATGATCTCACTTTCACTTAGTTCCTGTGGGGGGTCCCACCCCCGACCAAAAAACAATGCACTGAAAAGGTGGGTCAATTGAGGAGGAAGGGTTCTAGAACTTTCAAGATTAAGGGAAGTGGCTTCTGCACAAGTTACCCCAAGAAGATGTCCCAGCATCACAGACCTGAAACTCACAGCTATGGTCGCTAAGCCAGGAGGGCTGATCACAGGAGAGGCCGCCCCCAGAGTTCACCCTGCTCTCTGTCTCATGACTGCACCCCCGACGCGGATGCCCAGGCCTCGCGTTGAACTCTGATTCAGAGTGGACAGTGAAGGGAGGGGGGAAGGAGATGCATTCAGGGCAGGGAACCAACTTGAATAAAGCCAGTTTGGATGACAGATCACCTGCTCTGCTGGAACCTTGGCCTTAGAGAATCGACACCATGACACAGCTGGCCCCTATCTAGGGATCCCTTTTACCGGGAACACAGAGGGCTTGAAGCACACGCACTCCCCGCCCCCCAGGACCACTGCCTCCTTTTCCAGGCACGGAGTCCACCGGAGCTGCCCACCTGCGCTGAAAACCCCAAGGCTGCGTTCTTTCCAAATGTCAGCACCCCCTCCTTCGGTCCCCGGGACCCCCGGGGATGGGCAGAGTCTGGCCAGACCCGCCTGTAAAAGCCAGGAGACCGGCCTCCGTGGCTCTGGCGGCTGGCAGGGATCCTACGCATGTAATGAAGTCGGCACAGACTGTTCCAGCCTTGGTTCTTCTGTCAATGTGGCCCTTTAATGTCGCCGCGTCCCGCAGGAGACACCGTAATACTGTTTTAATTATTTCTGTCCCCTGCTGGGAAACCACCTCCATCAGACTCGCAGCGGCAAAGCTGAGACAGGGGACAGGGGAATCAGTGTTTCCTGAGTCGTGAGCGCTGGCATCCGATTTAATATTAACAACCAGCACGACTGCTCCGATCAACAGCAGGAAGGTGAAAATTGGAGATGAGAAAGGCCTGTCCTGAGAGCTGAGAGCCCAGGAAGGAGGCTGCCGTGTCGGGGGGGGGGGGGGTGACACAGGGCAGGCACCCCCCCGCCCCGTTTCTCTCTTGAGCCAAAGTGAGCGGGGGAAGGGGCGAACAGCATTCCTTTCAGGGGTGCCCAGCGGGGGATACCAGCAGGGTTGAATGCCACACTGGGGAGGAGGGCGGTAAAGACGTCATATTCCCCCAATTAGGCCTGGACTGCGTCCCCCAGAATCCATATGTTGAAGCTCTAAGCCCAGGTACCTCAGAATGTCACTGTATTTGGAGATGGGGTCTTTACAGAGGTCGGTATGTTACAATGAGGTCATATGAGTGGCCCTCATCCATGATGACGGGTGTCCTTGTAAAAGGAGGTTGGGACGCAGACGGGCACGGCGGGGGGAGGGGGCACATGAGGCCACGGGGAAGGGAGGCCATCCGCAAGCCGGGAGAGGGGCCTCAGGGGGAGTCAGCCCTGCCTTAATGCTGGATTTCTGGCCTCCGGAGCTGGGGGACCATCCGTTCCTGTTGTCTAAGTCCCCGCCTGTGGCCCGTTGTTAACGGCGGCCCCTGCAAACTGAGAGACTCCGCTTTTTATAAAAGTTTAAAAATGCATCTATTCCCAAACAGGGCCCCTGAGATGTATCAAGCAACACTTTAGATCCGGCTCCCGACATAGCCCACTTGGCCGTCACCAAAAAAAAAAAAAAAAAATCAGAAACCACTTCAGCAAATCCTGCCTCCGGCACGGTGGCACTGAAAGTCACCCGGGTCTTGGATTTTTGTGCAAAAGGTAAAGGAGAAACACTGGCTGGTCAAGCAACGGAATGTGGGGCGGGCCCTCCTGTCCCATCAAAAGCCCCCGGGACTTTAGAGGGAAGTTTTTTTTAAAACTACAAAAGGCTTTTTACTAAAAAGGCCTCTCTTCCAAGGAGATTCCCCCGCCATAGTCAGGCTGACTCATGGCTCCTCAGAGCTGTGGGTGCTGTTCTGATCACCCATGGCCGTGGTCATTAACTGCTGCATGGAAAGGCTTGCAGGGCACCCCCCCACACACACACACAGGCTGAAGGGTGTGGGGGGGGATCAGGGCTGACACGTGTCTCGGCACCGATGGGGCCACATGCCAGCACTGGGGTGCAGAATCCTGCCCACTGTGGGCTACACAGGGGAGCGTAAGAGCAATAACCTGAAGAGGCCGGGTGGCGTGGGGGAGGGGTGGGGTGGGGAACAAGGCTGGTGGGCCTCCCGGCCCTGCAGGGTCTCCGCCGCTCCCTGCTCACTCCAGGTGCTTGTACTTGGTGAACAGGTTGTAAAGAACCCTCAGGGTGGACTTGAGATCCAGGTTCACCACATCTGCGGAAGGAAACAGAGACGCCGTTGGTGGGGCGAGAGCACCTGGGCCCTGGTGCCGGCACGCGGGAGGGACGGGGCACCTGTCACGTCCACAGCAGAGTGCTTCGGTTTTAAGACCGATAGCCACCCCACCCAGGACGCCCTGAGCAGCGCCATCCCAGGACACTGGCTGCTGTGAGAGGCCCCAGGCCACCAGCCCTCTCCATGAGCACCTGGGATATGGCAAGACAGGTGGCAGGAGGCTCCTGCATCCCTTCTAGGACCCGCGTCGGGCACGTCTGGGGACCAGTGGTGCCTACGGACGTGTGGTCTCCAACAGCCAAGGATGTTTACTGGGGTCCAACACCCACGGGCCGACCTGTGCCAGGACAGAGAGCGGGCCCTCTGGGGCAGGGCGGGGTGGGAGCTGCGGTTCCCTCCTGCCCCCTCAAGGTCAAGCAATGGGCCATGTGATGTGGCCCACGGCAGGACCCTCAGGGGATCCGACAGCCCAGGAAGTCCAGGCTGCCTTCTTCGGTGGGAGGGGCACCTGGGTCTTCTTCTCACTTTGCCCTGTGACCTCAGACAAGTGACCTCCCTGCTCGGGGTCTTTGTTTGCCTCTAAAACTGGCCCATCGGATGAGGTGATGCCCAAGGCCCTTCTCGGGCCACAGAAAGATCATGGTCTTGCTTTCCCCCTGCAGGTACTCAACCCCAGAGCAAGAAATAGCATGTCTTCCGGAGGAAGGCTGGCTGAGTGGCTGCCGTGAACCAACAACTGTCCTCATACCGAGGCCCAGAGTGTCTCCAGTCTCAGCTTGTCAGAGCCGGGGGGAAGCACGGAGAGCCGGCACAACCCTCTTTCCTGCCTTCCCTTTGCAAACGAGACCAAGACTCACCGAGGAGAAAGAGCCTGCCGGCCAGTTTACCCTCACAATGAACTCGAGGGTTCACACATGCACCCAGGGCTCCCAGAGTCTCCCAGGCCCGAGGCTTCGGCTCAGCCACCCCCCACCCCCCCGGGGCCGGCCAACACTGCAGTGGGAGGAGACCAGTGGCTACCGAACCAGAGGCAGCCGGCAGGACCGATGCCCTCTGTGAAGGGGCAGGTCTGAGGAAGGGGCTGCAGGGGGCTAAGCCAGGCCTGCTCCTGCTTCCCCAGCCTCCCTGCCCTGGTGGTGCCACCACCGGCTGCCCGTGCCTCCCCGCTGCGGCTCGGACCCACACGCGGCATGACCGTGCCTCATCCCTGCAGGGACATCAACCCAACACGCATCAAACCGTGGTAAGCCTTTAATATCCTTGCAAGGCGTGAAACAGCATCTCTAGCCTGAGCCCGGCACCTGCAGGGACATGCAGATCCCAAGGCTCGTGGGCAGAGGTCATGTCCTCCAAGTCAAGCAGTTACTAAAGACCAGTGTTGGTGGTTCCACCAGCACAGTCCTCCTGGTCCCCGAAGCTAAGGGCACAGGGGGCACGGGAGCTGGGGTTGGTGGGGCTGGGGCAGGGCATTACCTTCAGGGTGAGCCTTGGGTGTCTTGAGCCCTCCGTCCAGCATCAGCTCAAAGGCAAACGCCACGTTGTGGACCTGCCAAGGAAGCAAAAGTAGAATCGGCACATGCCCAGACCCAAGCGGCCCCACGCAGGGCACAGGGTGGGCAGGGGCGTCGGGAGAAGATGTTCACTAGATGGCCCTTACTCCCCTCACCAGGGATCAGGGGGCAGCTCAGAGATGCAGGGCTGAAGGCACAAAGCTTACCCTAGAGGGCTCCGGGGTCTCTGAGTGTCTGCTCTGTCATAGGCCACATGATGAGAAGTGACCGTGACTCTGTCCCTTTTACAGACGAGGAAGCCAAGGCTCAGAGAGGACAAGCCACTTCCCAGAGACACCCAGCGCTACGCACTGTCCCCAGCACAGAGCGGCCACCCACCATGTGCTGGAAGGGTCTCCCAGAGCTGTAGGTGCATTGCTGTGGGCAGGACATTGCTCTCGGGGCAGTGGTGGCCCAGGCACCAGGCAGGCACTGGGGACCCTGCCGGAACAGAAGTCAGCCCAATGGTGGCTGCAGGGGCAGGCAGCAGGGCCCTGGTCCTGGCCTCGACTTGCTAGATGTCACAGAAGGTGGACACCCCACCCCCACCCCCCACATGGCTTCTCCCTGAAATGAAAAGTACCACTCAGCCCACGAGGATGCTGGAAGCTTGTATTCCACTAACAACTTCTGAAGAGGTTTAAAATAACACCTTCTCTGCTGCATTTATCCACCTGAATCACAGAGACGCCAGGTGATCAACCAAATCACAGCCAACCATCTGCTGGGAGCAAAGGCTGTTAGGGGGTAGGATCGGGGGGGAGGGGGCACCAAAAATAAAATAGATCATAGAGTCCGAGCTAGAGAGAACCCCGGGGCTCTTAGTCACATATCCTTTCAACAGTAATATCTTCATGATTTCAGGGTAAATGAACCAGAAACATGATCATTTTACTTGTAGTTTAATAATTAACCAGGAAAACGATGTTTGACAAAATAACCCGCTGTTGGTCAGAATCCCAGCAGCTCAGGGACCGCGTAGTGGCCTCCAGGACCCTCGGCAGCACCAGCACTGGGCAGGTGGTGCTCGGAGGGGCCCCGGGTGGGGACGGACCCCGCAGGCCCTTCACACCAGGGCTGGGCGGGGCTGCACATGACCAGATGCAGGGGGCCTGGAGGACCCTGGGCCATTCCAGAGGCCCTCTGGAAAAGGCCAAATGGAAAGGCCAAGCAGGGTGTCAGACGTCCAGGTGTACAGAGCCAGCCCAGCCCAGAGGAAGGGCGTGGGGTGCACCGAGGCCACTTTTCAGAGGAGGCCCCGGGGCCGAGATGAGTTAGGACAGGGAGAGACGGCCCCTCGAAATTGCTCGGCGCTGAGCAGGTAGGCTTCCTGAAACCCCACGCCTGCCCCGCACCAACAACAGCTCTCGCCCAGACCCACCTCTCCGTAGTGCAAGACTTTCCTTCTGCTTCCTTCTCGGTCTGAGGAAACCACCCGACAGGAAGTCACTGCCACCCTGCTCTCGTCCCAGCCACCCCCTCACCTCCACTGACCCCTCATGCCTGCAGAGAAGCCACCCCTGAGCCCAGGCCCCTGGGACAGGGCACACAGAGCAGCGAACAGCTCCCCGGACCCGAGGGGACCAGGCCACACGCTGTGCCCCAAAGCCCCAGGCCACCCCTGGGAGCCAGCCACACAGCCAGGACACCCTGAAATCCTTTCCCTCTGCAAGTCAAGGGATTTTTGAAAACCTGGCCAGGTGACAGAAGAATAGAAGGTTCTAGAATAGGGGTGGGCTCTTCCACCTCTGCCCTGCTGAATGTGGGAGCTTGGGTTGTCTCTCGGCCCTTCTGAGACCCGTTTCCTCGTCCCCAGGGAGGGAATCAGATGAGGGGATAGGAGGGAAAGCACTTGGAGAATGTGAAGCCCTTTCTTGTATTTGCCGGTAAGAACCTGAGTCTCCGGGACGCATTCCACTCCCCAGAGAGAGGAATGCTGTGGAATCTTCCAGAAGGATGACCGATGGGCACAAGGTACTCAGCAAAGTGGCTCCCATGGAGTAAGATCATAAAACAAAAGCCACGGGTCGTAGCCATGTCTCAGAAAGCTCAAAGGGTGCCGTGTGTTTGTGTGCAGGAACCTAGGGGGTCTGGTCTCATTTTTTTTTAAATCTAGTGCAATTGTTTTAAAAACACAGGTCATCACTCCGCTGGGGGACAGCAGCCCCTGATACGTGTCCGATTTCGCTCACCAAACCTTTGTGCCCTCCCTCGGGAAACGCAGAGCTGCTGCAGATTCCCAGCACTGGGGCAAACATGTGGGCCCTGGGGAGATGCCCAGTGGGAGGTCCCCTGCAGCCACCACGGCCTGAGAGTTCGGCTGTGGGGCCCAGCCTGGAGCGAGTTCAGGTCTGTGCAGTGGGGAGATGCCAGTCTCTGCCCATGAGCCGGTCGAGAGCTAATAAATATGACGAGCTCACAAAGAACTTGCCAGTAGCTGCCACGATGACCCTCACTCCCCACGGCGGGCAGGGAGAGAATCCAGGAAGCTGGATAAGAATGCACTGGAATTCCAGCGTCCTCCCTGAGCAGAGCCACCCCTTCATGAGCATGAACGGGCTCCCAGCATGCTGGACGCTGCCCCTAAAACAGCCTTTCCTTCACGGCTCTCGGGCAGAGGCGAAGCGAAGGCAGACGGTCATTCGGGCCTCTCACACCTCCAAGGCCAGGGCGGCAACCCACAAAAACTTTCACCCCTGTTGCAAAGGGAATTAAGGCTGGGGCCGGAGAGAAGGCTCCCCTACCCTGCCATGTGCACAGTCTCATCTTGGAGAAAAAAAAAAAAAAAGAAAAAAGAAACCCAGTTCCGGCCCCTTGGCTCGATTCACCGTTCCTGCCGGCATCATTATTAATCTGAACAAAGGAAATCTCTCTCCCCGAACAATGCTTCTGCAACCAGCCCCGTCGGGCCTGGAAACGCATGAGCCTCTTCCCCACATTATCTGTGTTCTCATTTCCAGAACAATAGCACAGGCACCCTTGTTTCCTGACGGAGTTCTGCTCGCTCCCCTCTGGCTCGCGCTCTCCCCATTCGCTCTGGCTCACCCGTGCCAGGCCCTCTCTAATCTGTTCTGATTCCATCTCAGCAGGCGAGGCAGGAACAACATTTGGCCGCCAGTGAACCGCCTGGAAGGTGCTAGAAGTATGCAGATTGATAAACACTGGCCCCGTTATCGGATGTTTCCCTGGCTGCCACCACCTGCTAGCATTGTCTGCCTCTCTGACTCACGGGTCTAGCACTTTGGGAAAATCCAATGACATGCCCGCGAGTCCAAAGCAATATGGACAGTGCAAAAGCCAAGTTTCTAAAGGCAACGCACTAACTATTGTCTGGACAGGCTGCATTCCGGGGAGCCCTGAGCAGCAGGCCAAACACCCGGGCACAGACAGGGACACGGGGGGCTCAGCAACTCAAATCCAAAGGTTAGGCCCTTTGACCCCAACAATCCTATGTGGGGAATTTCCCCTAGAAAACAATCCACAGGAATGGAGATAGATATACAGAGAGATCGATCAATAGACAGACAGACTCGAGAAGATGCCCTATTATTTTAATGGGGAAAAAAAAACAGAAACAAGTTAATCGTCCAAGAGTGGGGGGAACAGGGAGACAGTGGTGTCAGAGCCACGGGACTCTGGGCCACGACTGAGGACAGCACTTGGGGAGATCGGAAGCAGCTGGGAAAACCAGAGGTGACGTATGCATGGCCTCAACAGTGGAAGGATCTGCAAGTCTACAACATCCGACCACCATGATTAAAATTGATACCATCCCATGGGAAAGACCCCAGAGAGAACACGGCACACGGTGCTCGGGTATGTCTGGCACTACTGATGGGTTTACTTCTATGACTGAGGGTTGGGTTATGTCTCATTGCAGTACCGTTTTGGGGACAGCTTTATTTTTTTGAAGACTCCAGCTAGACTCCTAAAAGAACATCGGGGGCAGGTCTAGGCTGTGCGCTTTAGCGAGCACGTCCGGGGCTGCTCTGAGGATGGAGACCACACACATACCTTCTGGTCGAAGCTGTCTGGGGTCAGGTAGAAGTTGTGCAGGGGGACGAAGTAGTCCTCCAGAAGGCCCATGAGCAGAACCAGGTAGACGCCATCTGCAAACTACAGAGAAACACGTGGTGATGTTTCCGGGCTGTACAGGGAGGTGGTGAATGTTCTGCATTCATTCCAAAGAAGGAAAATGTTTTAAAGTATGAAATCCATGCCTCGCTCAGGCATGAACCTGCAATTAAGTGAAGGACCCGGGTACAGAGCATCTCACTCGGGACTGGATATGGCCATGCATGTGTTTGGGGTTGGAGTGCATCCACGTGGATAGGGCCACGGCTCTGGAAGCAGGCAGCCTGGCCACAGGGCCCCTCCCCCCACTATGGACCTCGAGGTAACACCGGCTCCCATCTCTCAGGGTTGGCACGAGGACCCAGCATACAGGGAACACCCCATCAGTGTCGGCTTCTGGAATGATCCATCCTTGTATGACCTGCAGGGTGCCCTATGCTTTGGTTTGGGGTCTGCTGCCCTGTTCCACCTGTTCACTTTGTCAGCTGTCCGAGCACCTTTTTCTAGTGAGGCTCACAGCGCCAGACACTTTCCCCTGCTTGAGCCCCGGTGACCATGAGCCTTTGTCCATCTAGATGAGCCTCTCGTGTCCATCCCGGCTGGGCCCTGAACACCGGGAGGCACTGGCTCAGGGAAAGGCCTGCAGGCTACAGCCCTCAATCCAGACCCCTCTCCCTGCCACCCAGCCCAGCAGCGCCATCCATCCACAGGAGGGGGACCAGGAATCTAGAACAAAAGGCCCCACTCTTTGGCAGACAGCCCTCCCCCACCCCCAATAAGCCAGGGAACAATTACTCCCTTTAAAGATAAAGCAATGGAGACCAGTAAAGGCCCCACAGAGCACAGAGATGGCATCTCTGAGGGGCCGAGACTTGCTGGGGTCTGCTGCACGGCCAGAACTTGAGAGGACCCCAGCCTCCAGATGTCTCAAACTGCGCCATCCAACATGACCGCCACTGGCCACATGTACCTATTGAAATTAGACATTTTTTTGTTTGAATGTTGCTGGTTTATTCTTTTTCCTGCGGTAAAATATATATAACATGAAGTCTACCATTTTAACCATTTTTAAATATCCAGGTCACTGGCATGAAGTCCATTCATACTGTGTGCAACCAACCATCCATCCATCCATCCATCCATCCAACCAACCATCCATCCATCCATCCATCCATCCAACCAACCATCCATCCATCCATCCATCCATCCATCCATCCATCCAAATTCTAGCACTCACATCATTTTGCAAAACCGAAACTCTGTGCCCATTAAACACCAACTCCCCATCCCCCTCCCCCTGGCACCTACCACTCTGCTCTGTCTCTCTGAATTTGCCACAAGATTTATCCTTTTGTGTCTGGCATATGCTGACTTTTTTTTTTTTTTTAGTCATGATAAAACATACATAAAATGTACCATATTAATCATTTTTAAGCATACAGTTCAGTCTTAAGTACATTCACGCTATTACATAACCAAGTTCCAAAACACTTAAACTGAAAAAAATGTCTAAATTAATGAAAATACAAAATTCCGTTCCTCAATCCCATCAGCCACATTTCAGGTGCTCAGCGGCCACCCATAGCAGGCAGCTCCTACGGCAGACGCGTGCCGACAGGACCCCTCCATCGCTAAAAGGAAGCCCTCTTGGCCGGCGTGGTCCCCTGGTCTAGAAGAGCGCCATGCAGGACAGCAGGACAGCCGTGAGGGGCTGGGCACCCAGGAGCCCTTCAGCTCCAGAGACTGATGAGCCGAAGGAGGACTTTACTGAAAATAGCAGTTCCCTCCACCATCCTAGGCAGGCCACCAAGGCCTCCGATTTAAAGATGAAAATTCCAAATCACAAGTGTCCAGTATCACCATGTTGAAAGGGGAAGGGGAGCGAAGACACAAAGCACAAGGCAGAGGGACGCCGTCCTTCCCGGGCCTGCCGAGGACAGCCCTCTGGTAGAGCGTGCTGGCAGGACTCCCCCCACTGACACCGAGCCAGCAACAGGCCCAAAGAAACCGGCTCTCTCCACAGCATGGGCCCATTTCCAGGCCGTCCACGAATGAAGATCCCACCCCCAGCACCTGCCCGGGAGGTGTAGGGAGCCTCTGCTCCCTTCCACGGCATCCCCAAACGCAGCCCAGGCCCCCTCGTGCATGGGGCGGTGGGAGAGATGGTGACTGCAGAGGAAGGCATGGGAAGGAGAGGGGCGCCCAGGAGACTGAGAGCCAGGAGAGCACAGCGGCTTATCAGCAAACCGACCCTCCAGCTCACACTCCCGAGAGCACACATCAGTCCTGGGTGGGGGTGTGCTCTAGCGCAGACCCCCATGGTTGCCCCCATGGCTCCCACGGCACTGTCTTCATCAATACCCAGCTTGTACAGGCATAACCTCCATTAAGCCTCCCTGTACCTGCTGCCCCCTCAACATCAGGAGAGAAGCTCAGAGAAGTTGAGTAGCTGGCTTGGTATCACACAGCTAGGAAGTTGCCCAGAATATAGAAGTGGTTTTACAAAGGAGGGAAAAAGACATGAATGCGCGCACGCGCGTGCACGTGCGGACACACACACACACACACACACACACCCGAGCAGTGCTTTGAGCCCAGGTCTCCCTGATGATGAACATTGTTTATAAAAATACCTCTTTTCTGCTGGACCACTGGTTAAAAACACTTATAGGGTACTACTTTAAGTGTGGTGATAGAGAAAAAAGGAGACACTGGGTACATCCAGATCAGTGCAAACTGAGGTGCAGAGTCTCGGTCCGGGGTGTCTGGCGACTCCTGCTGGCATGTGGGCCAAGCAGGAAGTAAGAGTCGGCAATGGCTCGCAGGGCCCAGGACGTTCAGGCGGGCAAGCCTTCCTGGGCCCGCAAAGCATCACTGCCTTCCAGGAACGTGTCCTGCCGAAGCAGACAAAGGCACCAGCAGCTGAGTACAGAGAGCCCCTGCACCGCCCGCCACGAGAGTGGGAAGCGCCCCATCATGAGGAGCGGGCTTCACGCAGTGCACCAGGACGGAATAGAAGGCAGTCCTCAGAGGTGAGCAGTACGGACAGACCAACAGACCGGGCAACGGAAAAAGGATGAGATGGAATCACGCGCACAGCCTCCAACAAAAAGATGCCGATGATAAAATTACATAAGAAAGAACACGTGTGGAAAGAGCTGCACGGTATGATCCACTGTCATTAACAAAACATACTTGTGCACATAAAACATCTAGAAGAGCCCACAGCCAACCATTAACAGCAGTCAGGTAGGTCTGGAGAGGATGGAGGGAGACGGTGGGGAGGGAGAGAGGCCTGTTACTTTTAGGTTAGGACACTTCGGGACTGTTAATATACCGAACGGCAAGTATCAGAGGCTAAGTGTGCAATGTTCATAAACTGTGACAAATGATGCACAAGTAAACATACTCATTAAAAATGGTCCATTCGGCTTTCCAGGACAGACCCGTGCAGTCCGTGATTAGCCAGCCAGGTGGAGGAAAGGTCTGGAACAAAACCCTCAGCACAGTTATCTCTGGGCATTGGGATTAGGAATGATTTTTGTTTTGCTTATCTGCATTTTCAGACATTCTACAATGAACCTGAATTACTTTTTTAATTAGAAAAGCAAATGAGAAAAGGCAAAGAAAGAGACAGGAACAGAGGCAATCACCCAGGGGTTTAAGAAGGATCAGCTGGGGGTTAGAGGAATCTGCACCAAGAACTGTAACAACTCCGAATTCGAGCACCCAGCTAATCCTGGGAAAATTATATTTTGTGGTTTGATGCCTGCTGAGTGCTTGAAACATCTTTTCACTATGCTGCATGAGCACTGAGTGGAGTGGGGGAGTATACTGTATATACTTCCTGCAGAAGAAATATTTTGTGCACACTCACTGGACAGGTATTCGGCGAGCATCTGCGCAGTAAGCACGGTGATGGAGAACAGAAGCGGGGTGGGGGGGAGGGCACGGAACGTTCTAGGCTTGCACCTGCCAAGGCCCTTCAGTGGGAGAGGTGTGACGCATCAGAGGCTGTTAGGGTTGAGCTGTGTCCCCCTAAAAAGATGTGTTGGAGTCCTAACCCGCAGACCCTGTGAATGTGACCTTATATGGAAGAAGTCATTACTGAAAGTAACAGAGTTAAGATGAGGTCACCAGGACGGGCCCTAATCCAACAACCAGTGTCCTTACTAAGATGGAAAATCTGGACACAGACGCACACACGGGGGGAGTGTCCCGTGACCATGAAGGCAGGGATCCCAGCAGGGCGTCTACAACCCAACAGAAGCCAAGAATCACCAGCAAAACCCCGCGGCGGGGGGAGAGGCCTGGCGCAGAGACCCCCCTCACAGCCTCAGAAGGAAACAGCCCTGCCCACATGGGTCTGAGACTCCAGCCTCCAGGATGGTGAGGATGCAAACGTCTGTGGTTTCAGCCGCTCGGTCTGTGGGACTTGGTTCCAGCAGCCACAGGAAATTAAGACAGAGGGCCCGAGAGAAGGCCAGAAAAGCTGGGCTTTGCCGCCCCACCTGCCAGGTGGCCATTCCTCATCAGACGAACAAGAATGGCGCCTGCTGCCCGGGATCGGACAGCTGGCTGAAAACGTGAACCCCAGAGCACTGCTCACCTGGGTCTCCAGTTCCGTCACCTCCAAGTTCAGCTTGTTCAGGTGCTTGTTCACAAACGTGATGAGAGACTGTGAAGGCAAAGAGACACAGGAGCCGTGAGAGAGTCCGCTCATCCGTTCCCATCCGACGGGATGGGTCGGACATTGGGCATCACCGGCTTTGTCAGGCGCTCCCGTCACCTCCTCCGTTTGCTAAAATAAAAGGCTCGGGTTCTCACAGCGACCCTTGGTTTTAATGGAATAATGCCTCCATCTACCCCCGTTGGAGAAGAACGTGCATCTCTGTCCGCCAACCCGGGCGCACACGTGCTCATCCACACACACGTACATATTTCACAATCCTGCAGAAGAACAATCAGCTCCTCAAGAAGGACAAAAGCGTCAGGGGGAGAGGACTGGCTTTTTAGATGCGTCCTAGATGCCACCTGGAATGCGAGAAGGCTGACCTGAGGGGCCACACTCATCCGCTTCAGTGACCTGTGCAAGCTTGATCTCGGAAGCAGGGCCACCGGCCTCTCCTCTCTAGCAAAAGTTTAAAACTTGTCGCCTGTAACTTTTCTCACCCAGCAAACCCAGCTTCAGGGGGACGCAGCCACACCCCACCCCACCCCCACCCCACGACACGACTGCCTTTCCTTATTCCTGCTACTCAAATTTACTGAGCAGCTACTACGTGCCAGGTACTCTGCCTGGCACCACGGACATGAAGACGGCAAGACAGGGTCCCACCTGGAGAGCCTGTGGCATAGTTCTCCACATATGTACCTGGTGGGGATGACAGAGAAGTCAAGGGCCAGGCCCAGCGTGTGAGACGTGCCACGGAGGGGAGGTCTGCTGGGCACGAGGAGGTGGTGTGTGTTCCCCCGCAGGGTGCCGAGGGAGGGAGCATCTGAGTGGGGCTGCGGGGCAGGCCAAATGGGAGATGGGGGTGGAGGGGCGGGTAGGGCAGGCACCCAGGCCCTGAGCACCTACACAAACACTTCGGGATCTTCAGGCTGCATCTGGATGTGGATGGGATGGAAGAGGGTAGGACGGGTGACCCTGGAGAGGTGGACAGGGTCCCCCTGCTTTTATCCTGGGGTACAAGGAGCCACCAACACAGCAACTCTCAATGTGGGGGTGTGGAAGGGCCAGGCTGGAAGCAGGAAGCTGTCAGGCAGATAAAAGGATTTTGTCTTGTTCGTCCCTAGTGCCCAAAATATGTCTTTTCAAAGAATAAATTAACATCGTATCTCTGAAAGACAGACCTCATGCCATGCCATGGCTACCCAACGCTACCCAATGTACCGTGCGCTGGGCCTTTGCACGGACATGACGACATTTTACTCTCACAGCACCCCTGAGAGGTGGGTCCTGCCTCAGTCCTGATAGATGGGGAAACTGAGGTAGGAGTTATAATCTGCTTCAGGTCATACAGTTGATAGGTGGGGGGCGGGGAGATTTGAATCTTCTTGTGCATTCACGGATGGGTTCTGTCAGGGTTCCTGGGAGCCAGATGTGGCAGGGGTAGGGCTTGGGGGGCACTGCTCAGAGGCCCCGAGGTGCGTCACTCATGACCCAAGGATGCTAAGAAGGCTCCACCCCAGAAGGACCACTGGGATCGTTCTGCTAGCCTTCTGCAAAGTGCTTCCAAGAACTAATACTCTCATTGTCCCCGGCTGGACCAGCATTTTCCAAAAGTAGTTTCCATGGGAATTTAATACACTCAATCACAAGATAAACAAACAGATCAAACCACTGACAAACAAGTTTGGAAAATCCTTCCTACCGAGTCCCCTCTTGGAGCATTCCAAACGCATGCCAGCATATTAAAGGTCCTGAGAAGTCCTGCATCAGGAAACCTGTTCTGGGCAATTGTGCTAGACAAAGACCTCTCCCTCCTAGGGCATGGGCAGAAATGACTGCTCCTTGGATTTTTTACAGGGAGGTGGAAAGTCCATCCATCTTCCCACTGCCTCCCCAAGTGAGATGTCTGCAGGCGCTCAGATAACTCCACAGACAGAGAGCTGAGTCTCGATTCCTTCTGGGTAAGAACAAGCCCTCCTGGCAGATCCCCCTGGAAACTCATTCCCCAGCCCCTGACTCCACAGCCTCAGTTCGCATGTTTTTTTTTCTGTTGTTTCCATCCGTCGCCTACACGTAGGCTGCCTGGGCTAATGAAGGGCCTGTCTTTGCGCTCCTTTGTGGAGGGAAATGGGCCAAATGCACGCACGGAGCAGCTCAGCCGGCAAAGGCCTGCCTATGCACCGGGCAGGTTGTGAATACAGCCTCGTGGTAATGAGGCCTGCAAGAGCCAGCAGGCTGACACACTTAAAAACATTTCCACATTGAGAAAAAGCCTTGAGTCGGAATGAAGGGCCACGGTGGTGCCTGGGCTGGCTAATTCACTCAACAGAAGCGGGCGGGTGGGCAGGAAGATACCCAGGGAGCAGAGATGTTGAGTTAAAAGGTGCTAATTTTATGCACTGTAGTTACGTTTTTGACTATAATTACACTTCAATCCATGTGGCAAACGTTTCAGAGATTTCAAACATGTTCCCACCTTCTTCCCGGCATGGAGTGCATGCTGTAGACAGAAGCCTGGACACAGAGGGAAGCAGCCCAGCCCGGAGCTTACCTTCTTCACCACGCTGAGCTTGTCTGGGGCGTGGTCAAAGAGGGTGTCGAAGGCGTCCCGCTCTGCGTGGGCAAGTGGAGAGGCACAGGCAGGGTTTATGGAAATGTCCCCGCCCGTCCCGGGGACCAGGCAGCTCCTGACCTCCGGGGATGTCCCGCCCCTACGCTCCCCACCCACCTAGAATCCCCTTCATTCCCGCCAGAACCCAAGGGCAGGTGGGGTCGAAGAGCAAAATCAAGGAAAAGATGCTTCTAGGTCCCCCCCCCACCCCGTTTCTATCCTGTAATGTGAAATTCACAGGTGGCACTCGGACACCCGCCCAGGACGTCCTCGACATGAGGCACCCCTTGCCCGCCTCTCTCCTTCCCCACACTCCTTGCGTACCAGTAAATCTCGCTGGTGCCTCCGAGCATGTCTCCTGATCGGCACGGCTGCCAGCCCCACACCAGCCCCACAGCCCTCAGCGGCTGCAACCTCCTGCTTTGGCTGGCCTCCCTCCTCCACTCCCGGCCCTCTGATCCCTTCTCCTAGCAGGAACACTGTAGACTGGATCAGTTCTTGCCCCTCCCTACCCCTGCCCCCACCAAAACTCTCCAACCGCTTCTCATCACTCCTAGAATAAAATTCATTCCCTCTCCCGTGACCCATGGGATCCAGTGGGTGCAGTCACCCCCCCCAACACATGCACCCTCCCTGACTTCACTCCACCAACCGGCTCCCCGGCTTCTCCTCCATCACACACCCACCACAGGGCCTTTGCACCTGCTGTTCACCTGCCACACTTCCTCCCGCTTGCTCTCAGATGTCACCTCCTTTGAAGGGCCTTCCATGACCATCCACATCTAGAAGAGTGCCCCACGCCTGCTACCTGTCCTCTGGCCCTAGTATACTTCTCAAAGCACTTAATCACTACTTGAGAGTACATCTTATTATCACGCATCTGCTGGACAGTAGCTGCTGGTCTCTCAGCTCCGTGCTGGCCGAAACCCCTGTCTCGCTTGTTCCCTCCACTGCCTCAGAACGAATGAACAAACCAGGAAACCCTGCTCCAGAATCTCTCTCCAGCAATCCTTCCAGGGGTGTCCCCCTCTGTGGGAGCACCTACAGGGCCTGAGGCGGCATGTCCCGTCATGTCCCACCCAGCCTCCTTCTTCCCGGGGAGCCCCAACCCACTCTGCTACTCGAGGACCCCGCCATGCGCTCCAAATCAACACAGAATCAGTCCCTTCCCTTTCCAACGTGAGGCCACCGGAAGCCAGGTCAACAAGGCTCTCAGTGGCTAAGAAGGAGCCGGGTGGGCCAGGAGCCGGGTGCCTGGTTCTAGGCTGTTGTTGCCGTGACGGGGCCTCATGGAGGCAGGACAGAAGCCTGCTGCAGCCCAGAGTCCAGGCAGGAAGACTGAAGCGTCAGAGTGGAGGCAGACCTACGGGGAGTCACTGGCGGGGTAGAGAGGGAAAGGGAGGAGGGCATCTGGAAGGCCCCAGGGCCCTGACTTCTGTCTTCCAGGAGCCAGCTGTCCCCCCAAGGTGTTGGTGGCAACATATGCTCCAAGGACCTCAGCCAGCAGACAGACCCACTATTACTAGCAGGGGCTTGAGGGCAAACCCCAGCAGGGAATTCTGGGGGCTGGGGAGTCCAGCCAGATTGGGTGGGGTGGGGGTAGGAAGCCTCCACTGCCTCTCTGGAGATGGTCGAGAGCCCAGAACCAGAGCTGACCCAGGGCCTGCTTCAGGACTGCCCGGCCTGGCCCATGGAGAGGGAGAAGGAAGGAGAAATCAGAGAGAAGATGGCCTGATACCCAAGTAAGCCAGAGAACCAGGTCTCCTGGAGGAAGCGTCCCAGCCCTTCCCCCCAGCCTGGCCCAAAAGGAAGGCCCTCGGTGTCCAAGGTCTAGTGTGTGGGGAGGCAACTCACAGCCCCAGCCCAGCCCAGGCAGCATCCTCCTTGGCCTTGGGGTTGGGGAGAGGGAAGGTGGGAGGCAAAGAGGAAGGGAGAGGTGGAAGGGCTGTGTGTGTGCGAGCACGTGTGGTGTGTATATGCACACGCATGTGTGCGCATGCGTGCGTGCGTGGTACACACAGTGCGTATGCACGCGTGCATGGGGGTAGGCATGCATGCGCGTGTACAGTGTGTGCATATAGGCACCCATGCATGCAGGTGACGTGTGTGTGTGTGTACGGCATGCATGCACACGCGCGTGGGGGTGCGTGTGTTCAGGGGGGAGGACCGCCCAGCTTCCTTCTCCTAAAAGCCAACAGCAACCAAAAGGCCCGACCCCACAGAGTGCCCCTCCTCCAGCTTTTCTACCAAGGCAGCTGTAAATTATTTTTACAATCGTTTAAGTCAGATTCCAGTCAATATGACAGCCTGCTAAGGGGGGGTGGGGGAAGCTAAATCTTTACAAAGCAAAATACAAACTTTAAATGCAGCTTGAGAAAAACCCTGGGAACAGAAGAGAGCCTGACGTCAGCCGGGTATATTTAGCTGGGCCACCGCTGGGCTCACAGAGCGAAGGCGTGCAGGGGAGCCACGGGAGGGTGTGGAGGCCTGCCGCCCCTGCGCCGCCCTTACCTGCAGCCAGGGCTCAGGAGCAGCATCGCCCAGCCAGCTTCTGCCGCACCCCTGCGGTAAGCCTGGCCTCGGGAATTAAAATAGCTCCCGGTCGCCCGCCTTCAAAGTGCCGGGACTTCAGGCCACTTGCTTCCTTCCCTAACCCTGTTTCCTCCTCAGTAAAATGGGAGTAAAGAGTCCCCAGCTCACGGCTGGTGTTAGAATGAAACACACGGTGCATCAGGGGACAAGCCCACCGCCTGGCAAGCGTGGCGCTGGGGCTCGGGCTCAGTTCATTCGATGCCCTCTGACTCCAGCCCTCCCTAATGTCTCTCTGGAGACTCTGGGGACAGTCACAGGGACAAACAGGGAGGGACACAGGCTGGGTGGAGGCAGATGGGTAAACTGAGGTAGCAAAAAAGAGGACAGGTAGCCAAAACAAGCCAGAAAGGACACAGAAAGGGGCTGAGTCAGCCGGGACGGGCCAGTGTCTGCCCAAGCGCAACCCTCACAGGTGGGAACTTCAGTCCAAATAAAGTGGTTTTGTTTCACATTTTTAAAATATAAATTGGAATTTCTGGCTTGTCTGCAGGAACTGGAAGTGTGGCAACACTGAGCCCGCATCCCTGCCTGCCTGGCATCAACGCGCCGCCCATGGAAGTGGGGGTGCGGGCTCCCCCAGTCTGCCCCACCGCCACCCCACACAGAGGCCAAGGGGCAGAAGACCACTAGGGTTCTAGCCACTTCTCTCGTTCATGTTGGCAGCCTGGTCCCTGGAGGTACCCACAAGTCCGGGGCCCATGGACAAAGGGCCAGGGGACGGAGGGAGGCATCACGTGAGGCTGAGCCGGGGTTTGCTGGAACACGAAGGGGAGGAAGGGCGTTCCAGACAGAGGGAGCAGAAAGCACAAAGAGAAGCACAGGAAAGACAGGGAGGGTTGCAGGCCGTGTGGCCTGTGAGGGAGGCTCAGAGCGACTGGGTCCCGCAGGGCGAGGAGGCCCCGAGGGTGGTGGCCCAGTCAGGCTGCGGTGGGGGCACAAGCTCTGCTGGCAGAAAAGGAGGAGACCCGAGGAGGAGATGGGGAGTGAAGGAGGAGAGCTTCTCCCCACTTCTCCCCTGTCCGGAAGCCCAGGGCAGGGGAGGGGCCGCCCGCGGAGGAGATGCAGATGCATCCAGCAAGCCCGTTGCCATGGAGACCAGGCAGCAGCGCCCAGCTCCTCTGGGGAGATGGGCCTCCCAGCCCACCTCAGCCAGGACAGGGACGACTCAGGGAAGGGGGGCTTCTGGAGGGGGCAGGGCAAGCCCTCCCTCCCGAGCTCAGAGTGCTCAGGTGAGAAATGAGCACAGAACAGGACCCCCTGCCAAACCCAGTAGGCAGGCATGAGCCAAGGAAGGTCTACCTGGTATTGTGGAAGCGCGTAGAATGTCTGCGGCCCAGGGCTGGCGGCTACGGGGGATGCACGCTGAGGAAGACACAGCTCCAGCCCACAGGATGCTTACAGTCAAGAAGCCATGGGTAAGGGGCCGAGGGTCCCCAGACTGTCCCAGCACCCCGAGTCTGCCAGGCAGCTCCCCGTGAGTACCGGCGAGTGAAGTAAAGAGACAGGCTGGGCGGAGGCAGGGCAGTCAGGGAAGGCCACCTGAGAAGGAGCTGAAGAGTGAGCCATGGGGGAATCCAGAGGGAGAGCATTCTGAGCAGAGGGCACTGCAAGGGCAAGAGCTGGAGGGGGCATCCTGGGGTGCTCTTGGATGAACAGGGGAGGAGGCGAGGGGCAAGCAAAGGGGGGATCTGAAGGGCTGGGAGGCCACCTCCAGGGCTGTGGCTTGAGCTTAAGCCAAGATGGACAGTAAGGAGAAGTGAAGGGTTAAAGGGGTGCCTTAGGAGAAGCCTGACCCCCAACTCAAGGGGCAAGCCGGGGACCAGGATCCGGGGGGGGGGAGGGCAGAAAGGAGGTCCAACCTCGGTGGGCGAGGGGCTGCAGGGGCCCCGGAGGGTTTCATGGGAGAAGGGCCGGCAGAGGCCCAGCTGCGGCAGAGGCTGCCGGTCTGGGTACCCAGGGGACCTCGGCGCTTGCGCCAGCAGAAGCCGGGGGCGGAACTCACCACCTGTCACCCGCTAATAGCCTGCTCACGTTTCCTAAGCAGGGTGAGCCTATAACATAACAACATTCACCGGCGTCTCGTGGTTCCATGGCCCCAAAGGCTCACGCGTCTCCTGTGCTCGCCGGCAGAGTGGCTGAATCCATTTTTCATACTGTGACACCGGGCTGTTTCCCAGCGAGTTGCCACCCTGTACCCCAGACCCTAATGCACTGTTCGCAGGGCCGCGGGGGCTTCTCGGCCCAGCTCCTGCCCCCTCGAAGCGGCACACAGCCCCCCGCGGAACGGACGCTCCCCGGGTCCCCCAAACCTCGAACTAGGCCTGTGCCAAACAGGGACGGGACATCGCCCAGCAAATCAAAGACACTTAATGATGCTCTGATGGCCCCCCTCAGGCACAGGGCCTGACGCCTTGTCCTCTCCGGGAGCCTATGCCGGCCCCACTCCCCACTGCCTTTTCTCTCCCTTTCTTTAAAAATAACAAAGACACGTGAAAAGGACTGGATTGCTACTTAAAAACTGTGAAGATGGTGAATTTGCCCAGCGCGGCCTTCGGGCTACTGCAGGAAGTTTGAGGACATCACCGGGAGCCACGTCCCCTCTTCACAACCAAGCAACAGCGGCGTGCCACGGGTTCCCGTGATTACCGTGAGAGAACGGGGCCCTGTGGCCAGGCCCGTGGCTGACTCCGGGGTGGCACCCCTCCCCCCAAGAGCTGCAGGACCAGCTCCAGCCGGGCAGGCTCGAAGGGCACGCAGGAAAACTTCTACTTGGCTTCCACTTCCCCTGCTAACAGCCGTGCTCACTGCAGAAGGTGGTATTTGGGAGTGGAGGGCTTTCTGTTTTGAAATATCCCCCAAAGCAATGAGTTTCACTCACATGGCCTCTGGCTGCGGCCGAGAGCGGGGGTGGGGTACGGGACGGGACAACACACTCCCCACCCCGAGGGTTTAAATGCGGCCCCAAGCTGTCCTGTGATCTGCTACCCCTTGCTGAGATGAAGATGGGGTCATGCTGCTTGGCACAGGGTCGGGAACAGCTCTTTGGGAACAATCATCGAAACTAAACTAACGGGAATAACCACCCTCCCACCCCCCACTACGCTCTTCTTCTCCCCACCCCCGCCGCCTGTGGCAGGTCGGAGAAGCAGACAGACCCCAGGGGGAGCTACAGGAGACCCCACGGGGTCCTGCGGGCCCTGACCCCCATGTGACAGCGCGTATCCACGCATCCGGGAGCTTCCTGCCACAGCCCCAAAGTGCCCGTGACCTTGGGCCCCCCACCCCCACAGGTACTTACCGAAGCGACCCATCATCATCCTGCAAATGAGAACAGAGAGAGAGAGCTGTCAGTAGGTCGCTCAGAACACAGTGTGGTGAGGTCACGATGAAGGGAACCCCAAACTGCCCTGTTGAAGGGCTTTTTGTAAAAATGTAAATCCTGTTTTAACAGATTCTCTGTCCCTCTAATTACAAACGACAAGTGCATGTGTGGATTTCTAAATGTCTGCACAGGATCGGCAGCAAGCGGCCACCTTCAGTTAACCCACCCCTTTAATGCCATTTTGGGGGGAATTTAAATCATGGGAGCAGTTAATAGGCAGAACAGTTCAGCAGAAAATGGGGTCTTCTGGAGCCGCTGAATGGGAAGCTTTGAAGTCCAAGGGTGCAGATTACCCGAGGGTCCCACTGTGGTGAGCAAGCACGCTGCACACTCAGGGATCAGGAAACTTAGGGATGCTGAAGAATCCCAGACTGGGACCCTGAGTCTAGCAGGCAGAGGCTGAAACCACCAGGCACAGAGGCTAGTCCCTCCATGAGGACTGTGAGGTCCCCAGTGCACAGGTCCTCCCCTGCATGAGCCCCCTGAGAGGCAAGGAAGTCTCTATATCATCCCCAAATCCCTCTAGACTCAAGTCCCCTTAGGCTCCATCTTATTTAACAACACTCTCTTGAGCAGCTACTATGTGCACGCCTGGAAATACAGAAATAAACACCCCGTTCCCATAAACCCCGTGGCCCTGCCCATAAGCCCACATTTCAAGAGAGCCCATGGTGTCACATATAGGAGACGCGCTAGGGGAACTAAAAGGAAGTTCAGCCCACTTGTGTTTGGCAAACAGGGAGGGCTTCCTGGAGAAGGGGACCTCGGAGCCGGCTCTAGAGAGAGAAATGGACAGAAGGTGGGGAGAATCTCTGGGGCTGCGGGAGGGTGGGCCGCCAGAGCACCAAGGCCAGATAGAGCAGGAAGGCCAGGAGGCAGGTGGGGCAGTACTTTGTGGTTTTTGCAGACACCTGAGGATTTAAATGCTCCATCCAATCCCCTATGGCCACACAGAGGGGGAGGGATTGGGGAGAGCAAGTCCAGAGTCAGGGAGACCAGGCAGGAGGCTGAGTCTGGGGCCACACAGTACTTCCTACAAGCTGCCTGGGCTGGAATTCACATTTCTACAGACACGCCTTTCTGGCCAGCTAGACCGCCAGCCCTTGTCCCAAACCCCTTAGCCTCTCGGGCACCCAGCACAGCGCCCGGCGCACAGGAGGCCCTCGTGCTGGTGACTGCTGTGAATTGTCGGGGCCATTCGCCCACCCACTAGCCCCGACTCCAGAGCTCCCAGATCCCCCAGCTGCCCTCCCTCAGGTCACCAAACCCCATGGGAGACTGCAGGAGGTGGCCACGCTCCTTCCCAGGGCTGCACGCCCGCCCGCTGCAACGTGCCCGGCAGTGCGTCTCCCCCTCTCCGACCTTGGATGACCTTGTGCCCTGCTCTGACCCACAGAATGTGAGGACACTGTGGGGGGAAGGGGGCAGAACCCTGAGGGCACCTGGGAGGAAGCCCAGCTCCCTAAGGACGAGGCACAGGTGCAGGGACAGAGGCCTGCCACCAGCCAGCACCAACCACCAGACGAACTGAACACCTGCCCGGCTAAGCCCGGCCCGGTCTGACCCACAGCACTGTCAGCAGATAAAGGGACTGTCGTTTTAAGCCGCTTGGTTTTGGGATGGTTTGTTACGCAATTGTGGATAACTAAGGCACCACTCCACTCCTCATTCCCCTCCTCCTGCTCCCAAACAGGCCAGGCCTAACAGCCGCTATAGACCGGGCTGAGCACCGGGTCCCTTGTCCCGCATGCCGCCCCTCCCCCACCCCCAATCCCCATGGGCTTGGAACAGACGTGCTGCCTATCAGGCCACACGGCAATGGTTCCCCAATTTACCCAGCAGCTCCCACGTCAGGAGCGGTCTCCCGTGTCAGCCTGGATCTGTGAAAGACCAGACGTCAATTGGTGACCCAGTAATTAATCACTCCATGAATGGAGCGGGAGGGTTCACGGAGACAATCAATCTTTAATGTTCTGTTTCATCTGAACCGGGTTTGGTGGAGAGGCGCAAATGCAGCGAATTTTAAAGATCCTTAACAGGGTGTCATGGGGGCGCCTAAAAGCTACACGCAAAATAGCCCATTTGATTCGCTACGTTCAATAGATTTGAAGCCTTTTAGACTTCTTAAAAGTTGCCCTCTGGCTTTCTCTAAGAGATGAGCGACGGCTCAGCTCTCTCTCAAAGGCAAGTTCTGGTTCAGAAGGGTGGCTCCCTCTCCCAACGGAGCTGAGGCACGGATGGACAAATGAGCCGGGACAAGGGGTCCCTAACCAGTCTGAACACCTCCTCCGCCCACCTAACATTCTTGACGTTCGCCTTCCAGAATAAGGATTTTTATAAACGTCCAAAGGCTTCGGAGAAGAAATCCATCCTCACACGGAAAACTCTGAAGACGCTAGCATACCTACCCTACAAAAGCTCGATGTTTTAAATTCCCCTTAGCCTTTTCTTCCTGAGAGATTCTGAATGGGATCGGTTATATTTTCACTTGCTTATCATTCTCGGTGCCACTCCAGAAAAGATTTCGGGCAGCTTCAGTACGTTCTAATTCCTGTGCCGCACGTAGTTTGTGTATTTTTCTATTTGGGAGAATTTCTCATTTAAATACCAAACCAAACTGCTACCTTGCCCTTCCTCACCAGAGAAGAGGAAAAAACTCTTTGAAAAAAGTGCATGCAGGCCGTAAAGCCAGGACAGCGCTTGTGTGAAAACCTCATCCTTGGGTTGAGGGACGTGTGTGGAAATGGGCCTCTGCGTCTGCGTGGGTCCCCGGGGGGTGGTGGGGGGGTCCACTTACTCCGTTGTTGTGGTCAGCTCCTCCGTGACGTGGCTGGAATGCAGCAGGCCTTCCCGCTTCTGCAAACCCCAAGAAGAACAAATAAATACATAAACACGTGGGCAGGCAGAGGGGACGGGAAAAAGGACACCACTGGCAGGGTAGCTGAGCTGTGTGCGGACGGCCCTGGGGCCAGACCACCTTAGGGGCAGCATCCAAGCCACGCCCACGGGGGCGGACTGCAGGTGACCACAGGGGGTGACCCTTTTGGTGGCTGGAAACTGCCCCCTCCCATCCCCTCCCTGTAGGCTCTCCACGTTGCTCTGAGAGCCGGCAGCTGGGGGGAGGGGGTCTCAGGAGAAACACCCTAGCTCCCAAAGGGACCCCCTACGCCGTGCAGCTGGGAAAGGTAAGGGGCACAGGGAACCCACATAACATAGGGAAGCACCCAGTGTAAGAACATGCGCACTTGGCTACGTAGGGTGCACCCCCCCCCGAAGTCCTGACAGTTCCAAACCTCAGAACGTGACCTTGTTTGGAAACAGGGTGTCTGCAGATACAGCTAGTTAAGATGAGGCCATAAGGGGCTAGGGTAGGTCCTAAATCCAACATGACTGGAGTCCTTATAAGAGAAAACAGAGCCACAGACACACGCAGGCATAGAGGGAAGAGGCCGAGGGACAACAGAGGCCAAGCCTGGACAGATGAGTCTACAATCAGGAACGCGGAGGACTGCCTGCAGCCACCAGAAGCAGGAAGGGGGAAGGAAGGATCCTCCCCTGGAGGCTTCGGAGGAAGCGGGCCCCTGCCAACTCCCCGAGTGGGGCTTCTGGCCTCCCTAACGGTGAGGGGACAATGTCTGTTGTTTCAAAACACCCACATTATGGTATTTTGCTACAGAAGCGCTGGGACATGACACTGTGTGTGACGGACTTCTCCGGAAGCCCCACAGGTGTGAAGACGCAGTGATGGTGGCGGGGTGGGGGGGGGGGGGGGTCGGGGATGGGGGGCAGCCTGGACATCCCCGGACCTCAGGGTGGTGCTCGGCAGCCAGCTAATCCAAGCACTGCAAGCCCCTACGTGAACCCCTCGAGAAACGGCGAACTCACTTCCCACCGGACCACCCACCGTGGACACCTCCCGAGATCTGAGCTCCCCAACCCTTCCTGAACTTGGCCTCCAGGGAATTCTCACGGCTGGTTCTTACAAATGCAGACAACCACCCTTGGGCGGCCACCAGCGGCCTCACGGCTCCCCAGGAGAGCCCACCGAGGGAGGTGCAGAGACACTTCACTCACTTACGCATCGATGCACGTATTAGGCACCTAATAATGCCACGCCCAGGGTGAGGAACTGGACACATGAAGCTAAGCATTTCAGAGCTTTATAGCACAATCTCAGGTTTCTGGGGAAACCACTGCAACTCGGAGAAATCCAGTGATCGCCCAAGGCCCCTGTCTTCATCCCTTCTCTCCACGGACCCCCATATTCCTTGCATCTCCCATCTCCGACCAGATAAGCGGACGTGGACTGACAGGCCCTGGGGTCTGGGAGGCGGGCTCCTGAGGCCAGAGGCCGGCCAGTTCCCGGGACCCCCGCTCCCTGATTCATACCCCTTTGGGTGTGCCCAAAGAATCCTTCTGTAACCCTGGTCAGGCAGGAGGCGCCAGCAAGGAAGGCTTTGCCTGAGTCAGTAAAACTTCCTGAAAACCCAAAAGATTTTCTTGGACCAAAGCACAGGCCTGAAAGGAAATGCCTTGATTACCAAGCTGTACGGCGCTCATGGGGCCTCAAGTCTGACGGACACGGGTTTGGGAACCACATGCCCACGTGTCCTTGGGAAGCCTTTCCCGGCTGGCCGCCTCGAGTACGCGCCCAGGGCTAGGGCAGCAGGAATGGTCCCTGACCCCATCACCACCACTGCCCACAAACATCCCGCCTTAGGAAGCAAGCAGGGCCACACGGCAGGGGGTAACCCCCGCCTGATGCCAGAAAGGGGCATTCCCGCCCACCGGGTCAGGGCCGAGCTCCCGGGGGGAACGGGGGCAGGGGGGGGGGGTCAGACGGCTTCGGAGGACCGGGACCAGCCAGAGCCCTGCAGCCCGCAGAGCACGGGGCCAGCAAGGGAAAGCATGGAGTTGCACATCGCGGGTCTATAAACACACAGGCATCCGGGCTCCGAGCGAAACCTCATCGGTCTGGCAGGAGAGTGGTGCTTTCGCAATCGGAGTGTTTTCCCCATTTGGTGTCCCCGACAGCCAGTGCCCGGTGCCAAGAACACAGTAGGTGCTTCATACGCATTTCCTGGACAAGACCGCAAACACAGAGCCAGGGCTGGGTCTGTCCCCTTAAAAGCAGGGGACACGGTAGGAAAGGCTACTCTGTCCCTGTCAGAAGGACCCTGGCTCCCGGTGACATTTCTCCAAGGGAAGCAAGAGAAACGACCCTAAGAGAGAGATCGTGGGGAATGATGGATAGAAGGCAGAGCAGATGCAGAGGAGCTTTAATTGGGGTATCTATTTCATACCACTGGTCTCAACCCTCTCCGGTGAGTAATAAGCTCATTCAAGAGAACTGAATTCCAACTACTTGGCTTTGGAGAGAAATGAATGTTCCTTAAAAAAAAAAATCTGGTAAATTAAACCTCAATACACTCATGCCTTTGAATCTGCCTCTCTCCAAATCAGTGCCATTGTTCCGGCTCCAATCATTTGTCTCCAAGCCAGGGCGAGACACACATTTTGTCAAGAGGGGAAAATAGAAGGTAGCCCCTTAGGAGGAAAAAAAAAAAGCAGCAGCAGCAGGGAGGGAAGCCACGGGAGGAAAGCATCTGGTAGCATGGAGGGCAAGCCCGATACTCACCCGAACAACCACCACTTGTACAGACACGTGCTCCGGGAGGCGGATCGGGGCCCGGAAGTGCATGGCCAAAGACACAAGGAGGTGGAGGGTGGCCACCAGGCTCTTCCCATGAATTGCTTGTCGGGGGAGGGAAGAAGGGAGCTGCTTTAGATCAGAAAAGGCAATAAAGACATTGCATCCAAACGAGACCGCAGAGAAAAACCATGGGGGGGGGAAGAAAAGCACCGGCCACAGAAAAATGAAAATGATGAGCGCCTTGTGCGAATTTACTTCTTTCTAATTTTTTCCCTTCCTGTTGGCTTTCGGGTGACATGTGCAACCACTTTCAAAAGCACAGCATTTTTAAAAGGGGTCAACTGGGTGGTGTGATAAGGAGATGGAGCAGGCAGGAGAGTGAAATTAGCACAGGGAAGGGAGAATTTTGTGGAAGATGGGTCATCGTGACCACTTAGCCGTCACAATAATGTGCATTATTATCCCTGGCGCTTAAAAGTTCTCCCTCTGCACTATCAGCCTCCTGCACAAGGGAGGCAAGCAAGGGTGGATGGTGCTCCGGGGCTGGTGGAGAGCTTCCCAGCCAGGCCCTGCCTGCCCCTGCACTGAGGATGGAGCGGGGCGGGGGGCGGGGCCGCCCCCAACAAAGAACCCTCTCGCTTTAGCTCTTCATCTTTCTGGCTTCAGGTCTTGGCTGAGAATACCCCAATGTCACGTATTCGTCATGGCAGCACGCTCTGTGATTTATCCCAGAGGCCAGAATGAATCTTTTCCCGAGGACCTGCTCCGGCGGGTCATGGCTAGAACAGCTCATTTGCTGTTGCTCATTGCTCACTGGTGCCATGGGTATCTGGGGTTGGGTCCCTTCCAAAAACCCCACAGAGCTTCTCTCTCTTTCCCCTCCTTCCTCTGGGAGACTGCCTCCCCTGCCCCACCCGACCAGAAACAATTTCTCTCCTCTCGGAAGCAAGGGGGGAAAAAAAGGCAATGGCAGGCGTGACTTTGTCTCTCACCTAGGAGCTAGCTCCCAAGAGCGGGGACGCTGGCTTTGGCCTATCCTAGCTGCCTTCCATACAGCAGCAACAGGAATGGGTTTTGAACATGCAAGCCCAGAGAGGCCACGATGAATGACAGCATGGAGAGCTGAGGGGACAGTCTCGGTGTCCCCCGAGACTACTCACAGTCAACGGTCCACTGGAGCGCCCAGCCGTGGGGCCGCAGGAGGCCGTGCACGGCTTCCAGCACCGTCTGCAGCTTCTGCTTCTGCCCGATCTCAGACTGCGTCACCTCAGCCACATTCAGCTTGCAGCCCGCCAGTTTTTCTGCAACGAGGAAGACAAGAGTAAGACGCAGGGCGTCAGGAAACGCTGGAGGGTCTCAGGGCCGCCTGGTGCCCCGGCCGCAAGGGGGCCCTCCCCCACCCGGCCCGGGGCGAGCAGGTCATCACAGAGCAGTGGGGTGCTGTCAGGACGGGGAGCCACGGAGCTCCGAGCTTTCTAGTCCTTTGTGTTCCTTGGAAAAGTACGCCAGAGCGGAAGGGGGGTGTGGGGGTCGAGGGCAGAACTGGAGGTGTCCCACTTGGGAACATTCTAGGCACGTGACATGGAAAAAATGACTCGAGGTGCAACCGGGAGGCAGGGAGGGGACCTGCAGGGACGGGTACGGGGCCTGAGCGGAGGAGGCGGTGCAGGGGGTCCTCTTGTGTCTCTAATAGCAGGACACCACGGTAAGGATGGCGAGATGTTCACAGACACCACCACGAACGACTTTATCCCCGGGAGTGAGCCGGAAGCAGCCTGGAGGACCCCAGCAAGCCCGACAAGAACCGCCACACCTGCCCGAGATCCGGCGACTGCCGCCTGAGCCCGGCCTCGGTGGGAGCCCCGCCCACTTCGCCGCCGCGTGGGCCCCCCACCTGCTAAGGGGCAAGGCAAGAAGGGGCTCTAAGACCCAGGTGTCTCCTGATGGGATGTCTCTCCTCAGCAAATCAACAGCAGCAGCATCGCAGAACATGGCGACCTGTTCCCCAGGAGGGTGACCACGGTGCCTGGCACAGAGCCCAACCGGCCGCGAGCCAGGACGTGGCTGCTGGCTGTGGCACTGAAGGGGGGTACAGCAGACAGTGGAGTCCAGGCTGGTCACGGTGAGGCTCCCGTTTTGCAAGTGGTCCCCAGCAAAGCTCTGTGTACGGCATTCCGTCTGGAGGCCCGCTAACTCGGCGTTCTCTCCCCATGTCATCCCCTCCCTCGATTAGAACAAGAGCAAAAGCCATTTTAATATTCCCCCCAGGATAATATTATAGAGCAATGCCTGTGGGGCTTGGGATGCTCCTTCCTTTGCTTCCTTCCTTCCTCCCTTCCTTCGTTAGCTCACAAAATAGTTACATGAGCACCTTCTGTGCACCAGGCACCGTCCTGGGGCTGGGCGCAGCACAGACAAGAGGCTCCCCGGTGGGGGGAGGCAGCCTCACCTCCATAACATCGGGCTGCAGCCGTGAGTGCTAGAAGCAAAACAAAGCAACTCAACCAAATGCATCCAGCAGGGGCTAGAAGTGGTTGCTGTTTATATATTTTGATGTCCCTCTGCATCTGATAGATCCTAGCTGGATAAGCCACAGCTGTTCCATATGAACACCCTGAAAATACACAGCAGGTTCCCCATGTGTTACAGGGCAGAGCAGAGGATCCTGGGGAAGGACGGAGGGTTACAGAGCTGGGTGGTCCAAGAGCCGCGCCTGCTGGGAGACGGGGAGCCCGGCACGCCTCTGCCGTCCCCTCCACCAGCCAACCCTGCAGCCCCTGCAGGCTGAACGTGGCCGTGATACCCAGGCTGAAGGAGGAGGCGTGCTGGAGGCGGAAAGGAAACTGTACCAGCCTGTTAGGGCTGCGGTCACAGAGGACCTCAGACCGGGGGGCGTAAACAATGCAAATGTACTTTCTCTCAGGATCCTGGAGGTTAGAAATCTGAGATCAGGGGCTGGCAGAGCTGCTTTCCCCTGAGGCCTCTCCCCCCGTGTCCTCACACGGCTGTCCCGCTATGTGTGTCTGTCTTGATCTTTTCTTCTTAAAAGGACACCAGCCGTATGAGTTTAGGGCCCATTCCCCAATGACCTCATTTTAGCTTAATGACTTTTAGAAAGACCCCGTCTCCAAATACAGTCACATTCTGAGGTCCTAGGGATTAGGATTTCAAATTAGGACTTCTGGGGGCGGGGGGGACACAATTCAGCCAATGACAGGAACCAAGGAGGCTGGCTGCACCTGGGTGCTGCCTGAGGCTGGTCCCGCTAGCCCTGCCACGTGCGAGAGGATCACACATCTGGCTGCCTGAGTCGCCGGCATCACTCTGCCTACCGATGGGCCCCAGGGGCGGCTCCGGGCTCTGCTGGCTTTGCTGCGGCCAAACCTGGCTTCAGAGCACAGAGAGGGACGGAGGAAGCTGGGGTGGATCCTCAGATGTGGCAGGCAAACGTGGTGAGGCTGAATGCAGGGCTGTGAACACTCCCTGTGCAGGGAAGGGCCTGCCTTTTGCAAGAAGGGAGTGCAATGAGTTAGAAGCAGGACCACAGCCAGCCCAGGAGGCTCCTGGGACCCCGGCAGGGGCACCCTCCCTCTGCCCACACATGGCCCACCTTGCGGAAGAGTTACACCCGCCGAAACCTGCCATGGGGCAGAGTCGGCAGCTGCTTCCAGGGTCTGCTCTCAAGAAGACGGACCCAGCTGGGGTCCTGCTGCTGACTCGCACTTGGTAATCTCACATGGCCAAATCCAGAGGTCCACGTTCTGTCCTCACTCCCGCCTCCTTGAAACACCCTTCCCCCACCCCTCCCTGCCTCCTCCCTACAGCTGGACCCTTCAGACTCCTTCGCTGGCTCCTCCTCTTCCTGACCCCTTCCTGACCACCCAGGGCCCCAACCGCACCCTTCTTCTCTCTCCAGACGCACAGAAGTCAGCTTTGGCCTCGGCACTCGGCCACAGTCTCCCTTTTGGCTTTGGCTTCTGCCTTTGGAGACGGTGACAAGCCGAATGTCTAGTCCACACGGGTGTCATTCCTGCTAACCCTGGGCTCGAGGACTATATGCTCACACAGGTCCCTGCTGCATCTCATCAGTGCAGCGACATCAGCAGCGAGTAATCAGCAACCAGGCAAGACATGCTGATTTTCTGTTCAGATCCGAAAATTCTCTTCCGTGGTTCTTTTCCTCCAACAGAGGAGTGTGTCAACCCATTTGACATACGAGAGATTTTGGAATCACCTTATTGAGTACTCAAGTAAGATATTCACGCGGGATGGAGGTCAGCTGCCAGAACTAGCCTCCCACAACACAGAGGGTAACACAGCCGACGCAGGATGACGGACAATCACGCAGCTTCGGATCGAGTGTGACATTTGCCAGCCGAGGGGGGTACCAAAGGACATGCCTTGAGGGGCAAGAATTCTTACCTGAGACCTGCTCTAAAGATGCCCCTTGTCACTCGTCGCCTGGGAGGGGCCGGCACCATTTACAGGCAAATTCAGAGCCTGGCCTATGATCCGGTGATGGTACCAGCAACCCCCCGCCCCGCCCCGCTAGAACTCAGGCTTAGGATACGATTTTTTCAAGCAACTGGGTGAATGAAGCCACAGGGGCGTGCAGAAGCATCGGAAGGAAAAAATTTGAGTGCAACACTCTTTAAGTTTGCTTCTGAAAATGCTAGGAAGTATCTCCCTCCGGCAGGGAACCAGGCACCTGCTCAAGGGACCGTTTCAATAAGACAGCGGCGTCACCCATGGCCAGCTCTTTGCGTCCAAGAGCCGAAGGGGAGCTCGGTCTTCACCGCAGACAAGGAGGACAGCTGGTAACCCGGGCAGCAACCCCATCAGAAGAATCCCTGCCGGCGGATCCGAAGATCCATGCGCTCCCCACCCCTTGCCTACTGTAAATATCTGTCATCACGAATGGCCGGTATAATGACCCTGAGGGGACCGAAGCCCCCCGACAGCGCCGAGGATGACCCTGGGAATGACCACACCAACACTACGATCTAAAACATCAAAACTCTGACCAACGCTTTTTTTTTATCCACACCTAATTCATGTAGAGTGTTACATTAGTTTCAGGCATACAATATAATGACTCCACCTGACTGCCATTTTTAATAATAAACTGGTGATAACGATTACCAATCCCGATAACATTTCAAATTTATTCTTGTACCGCGGGAGTCATTCCAAGATGGGGATGACTGGGCTCAGCCAAATACTGAGAAATTTTTGGCCATTTGGCCTTAGGCCACCTAATGAATCTGGACCATCCTCTCCAGGTGGGGCGCCCAGGTACCATGGCTCTAAGCATCACCTCTGTGCTGCCGAGCTCTCCACCCTCTCACCTGGCCGCTGACTCAGGTAGAACAGGCCCCGGCTGCTGCAACACCAACCTCATTCCCCACCGCCACGCTCCTCCCAAGGGGCTCCTGGTTCCCCAGCTGCTCAGGCCACGAACCTGGCTGTCATGTCAGCCTTGACACCTCTGGCAGCTCCAACCTCCAAGATCCCTCCCGGGGTCTGCACCTCCCCCTAGCCTGAGCCACTTCATCTGATGCCTGGGCTGCCGGAACAGCCTCCTGACAGATCTCAGCTCCTGCTCCCGACACCCCCGCCTTCTATACCCAGAAGCCCAGGTGACTTCGTAAAACACTTAGCTCAGATCAAGTCCCGGCCCTGCTCAAAAGCTCTAGCGGTTCCCTGTCACTTGGGATAAAAGCCTTTGCTGGATGTGATCTGGCCTCATCCATCTTCCCGGCCCCGTCCAGCACCCCCACGACCCCTCTCCCCCACCTCCTGCAGCCTCCTTCCACTAATCCTTAAACACTCCAGACTCCTCCTCACATCCGAGTCTTGGCCTGGAATGTTCTTCTGAGGCTGGTGGTGCAGACATCTGCTCAGATGTCCCCTCCCCAGATACCCACCCCCACTGCCCAAACCCTCTCCGCCCCGTGACCCTCTGGCTTCCTTCCTAGCGCGTGCCACTCTCTTAAAGCATCTGTTCGTGTCCCATAACATTTCTCTTTCTTCCCTCTGCCAGAATGTAGGGGGACAGGTGGGCGAGGGGACCCCCCCCTTGCTACCACTGCATCCCCAGAGCCTAGATCCACACCTGCCACAAGGTGAATCTTCGTCCAACAGAGGAACAACCAAGACAAACACAACTTCTTCCCTCCAAATGTACTTCTGGAGGACAGACTGAGCAAGGGCGTGACATGTGGGCCATTCCCTCCCCATTGCCCCTGTAGGAGGGCTGACCCACAGAGGAAGGGGCACCGTTCTTGCCCCATCTCCCTGTCCCCATGGGAAAGTGCTGGAAGCTGGGTGTGGCCCGCTGCAGCGCAGGAGCTGCCACCTGGAGCATGGGCTCAGGCTACCCTGAAGACATCTGACCCATGCCACCTTGCGGAGAATCGAGTGGTCCAGCCTGGAGACCACCCCACGGTGGCCCTTTGCTGGGGTGCCTGTGCACTCACCCAAGAGCTTCTGCAGCACCTGGCCGTCATAAAGGTCCTCCTCCAGCTGCTTCACGATGATTCTCTCCTCCACCAGGACGTCGTTGATCCAGTCGATGAGAACCTGAGGACAAGGAGCATTATGGCCTCGCCCGCCGTGCCAGGCAGACCAGGGCAACGGCCAGAGCAAGCCCAGGAACTGAGCACTGTTGGGCACCAAAACCTGCCCCAGCATGGCGGCCAGGCAGACAGGCAGGGAAAGACACAGCCTGGGCTGCAGGACTTCCCGTGGGACTTCAAGAGGGGACGGCGGAGGGCAGCCACCGCGGTAACCCTGGGCATCCTCCTGGCAGGAGCTTGGGTGGACGGGGCCACTCTCAGGAAAAGGAAATGAGGGTAACCGTTCACTGTGGCTTGGAGGAGGGGGTTACACGAGTAACAGCAGCACCGCCCCTCGCAGCCCGAGGCAGGACAGGTGGCCCATACCACGTCCATCGCTCCCCTCCCACGAGGTCTGCACCAGAGCAGGCCCCCGTCACCCTGAGCCTAAAGCCGTGGAGAGAAGGCGGCCCCAGATGGCCCGTGACTGACAGCTCTGAGCGCCTCCTCTTTTCAACAGCTTTATTGAGACGGAATTCACATCCCATACAATTCACCCTTTGAGAGTGTGCAATTCAGGGGTGTTTGGTCTTCACAGGATCATGCACCCATTGCCACAATCAACTGAGAACAACTTCATCGCCCCAAAAGAAACCCATAGCCAGTAGCAGGCCCTCCGACCCCTCCTTCCAACCACTCAACTCTGCCCTCGGTCCGTGGATTAGCCTATTCTGGGTATTTCATATAAATGCAATCTCGTGCAAATGGGATTGATTTCCTATAAATTTCACATCAACTTTATTTCATATAATACGTGATCTCTCGGGGCGCCTGGGTGGCTCAGTCGTTAAGCGTCTGCCTTCAGCTCAGGTCATGATGCCAGGGTCCTGGGATGGGGCCCCACACCCGGCTCCCTGTTCCGCGGGAAGCCTGCTTCTCCCTCTCCCACTCCCCCTGCTTGTGTTCCCTCTCTCGCTGTCTCTCTCTCTCTGTCAAATAAATAAATAAAATCTTTAAAAAAAAAAAATACGTGATCTCCTGTGTCTGGCTTCTCTCGCTGGGCATGATGTTTTCAAAGCTCGTCCATGCCTAAGCACGCATCAGAACTTTATTCCTTCCCGTGGCGGAATGACATCCCAGCACACGGATCTATCAGGTTTCACGGATCCTCTCATCGCAGTTGATGGGCATCTGCACTGTCGCCACTTTTCGTGGCGTTGGTGAGTCATGCTGCTGGGGACATGCACTCGCTTCTCTAGGCCAGCCTTCCGCTGGAGACTTTTCTCGACAAGTTTCCGTTCTCCTCGCCGGCGATGTATCATCAAAGAGGACGGCTTCAGCTATGAAAAGATCTATGGAGAAACAGGATTCCCTTCAGCCAATCCCGCTTCAGCCACGAAATAAAATGGATGCCCGAACAGATTCGATCAAAAATAGCGCAGGATTTTCCTGTGCAGGCAAAACTAAGAAAACTACCTAATTGGTCTCAATGACCTCTTGGAGATGGGACTTTATGGCCCTTCTCAAAGATAAACGAAAGGGCACAAGTCTAGAATACAGTGTTCTCTGTCACCCTTGGAAACAGATGTAACCTGCAAAACTGGCCACAAGGCAAATTTCTCTGAAGCATCTTCTGTTTTCCCACTCACTCAAAAACATGACATCAGACACACAATCCCATGAAGAACAGAAGTGAACATAAATTAAAGGCAGGTCTGGAGGAAGAAAGAGGTGAGCAGCTCTGTGGCATTCTGGTTTCAACAAAGCCATCCTGAAAGGTCAGCGAGATGGAGCCAGGTGCAGTTCTCCCGCACCGTGCCCCCACCCCCTGCTCCCTCCCCTCCCTCCCTCTCCCTCCCCAGGGCCAGCTGCCTGGGTTGAGAGCCTGGCCCGGGGTCCGGCAGCTGGACCTCGCTCCCCTGCCCAGGGCCATGACCGCACCATCAGCCCCTAGCTGAGCTGCCTCCCCTCCCGCCTTCCGGCACCCGCCTCCACAGACACCACCCCTCTGTGTCCTCCCCTCTGACCCCCCTTCCAGTTCCCTCGAGGGTCCTCCTTGACTGCTACAGGCCTCTGGAGGCCTCGCCGTGGACAACTCTTCCTCTCACTCTCCACTCTCCTCCAAGGCCAGCTCATGCCTTCCCACAACTTCCAGTGCTGTCCCCAAGTCAGAAACCCCCAAATATGCAGCCCCACCTCCACAATCCTACTGCTCAGGTGTCCCTAAAAGCATCTCTGAAAGAATTCATCTCCCTCCAAACCTGCTCCATTCCCCTTCTGGGAAAGAAACAGAATACCATCCACCAGTGTGAAGAGCCTGGACTTCACCCCTCACCCCACTTCTGCCCACCTCATAACTTTTCACCTTCTCCTCTTCACCATCCTTGACTAAACCACCTCCTTGAACCGAGGCCACTTCCAACTGAGCATCCTGCCTCCTTGCTGGTGTTCTTAAGAACCCCAAGCTCCGCTCTGCCTCAGGACCTTTGCACATGCCATTCCTTCCAACCTGAACACACCTCCCCCCCACACCAAGGCCTGGCCAGCTCTCACTCATCCTTCAGGTCTCAAACTTCCCTATCATTCTCTGACCGCCGCGTCCCATCCAGGCCATGCGCCCCATCGCCCTCTCAGCACAGCCGAGCACCATTTCCCTGACCCTGTTCACATTTACGATGGGCACATATCTCCGTGTGTAATGATCTCCCCCACTGGACCCAAAGCTCTCCGGGGGTGGGAACTATGGCACCAGCGGCTCCGTCCCCAGCACTCGGGGCTCACTGCCTGCCAGAAGCAGCCACCAAGTTGAATAACCAATTTACGGAGCACCCACTCTGTGCGAGACTCTGAGAATAAACAAGACAGATGGGGCCTCTGTTCTTACATTCTAATCCGACATGAAAAGATCCACAAATATACACACTTTCAGACTTGCGATCAATGTGAAAGAGAAAAACAAGGCAGGGTACAGTGGAGAAGCCTGACAGAGACACCAAGTCAGGTGATGAAGGTCAAACGCCAACAGGGATCTGTCACGGTGATGGCAGGTGCCCTGACCTGATATGACGGGATGAGAAGGGCACTTTACCTCTCTGGTGTTCCTCCTAAAACCCACTACCCCACTCCAATCTGGAGCAAAACATCAGACAAATTCCCATAGAGGGGCATTCTCCAAAATTCCTGATCAATACTCATCAAAATGGGCAAGGTCATCATAAACAAGGAAAGTCTAAGAAACTGCCAGAGCCCAGAGGGGCTAAGGAGACTGGATCCATGATGAACTGTCACGTGGGATCCGGGATGTGGGCCTGAACCAGAAAAAGGACAAAAAAAACTGGGGGAAAAATGTGGGGAAAAATGTGGGGAAAAAACTGAGGAAATCTGACTAAAAGGGGGACTTTAGTTAACAACGTATTAATACTGAACACATGGGCCACGCTGATCTAGAATGTTAACAAGAGAGGAAATCAGGTGTGGGGCATACGGGAACTCTCTGAGCTCTCCTTTGCTATTTTTCTATAACTTTAAAACTGTTTAGAAAATAAAGTCTATTGAAAAAAATAAGGCAGGGTTTGGGGATGGGGAGGGTACAGTGGCCATTGGGGACCAGGAGGTCAGGGGGCTTCCTGGAGAAGGTGGCATCTGAGCAGAGAGAGGAAGGAGGATGGGGATCAGCCGTGCAGCCACCTAGAACAACCAGGGGGGTGCGAGGTTGGGGAGCCGGGGCAGGGAGATGCAGAGCCAGCCCCAGATGCCCACCTCGCCTCAGGGGCAGCAGCTGTGAAGCCGCTCAGGGTGGTGGATGAGGGGAGCGACCGTGGGCATTAGCGGGATGGGGAAGCACCCAGACATGACAGAGGGCACAGGTGGGGCAGGAACAAGGGTTGGAGATGACCCTGGGAATGGGCAGGCGAGGCAGGATGGAGGACCAGGAGACGGACAGAGGAGGGGGGTGGCTGGGCAGGTGCGTGGGACGCCTCCAGGGTGCTGAGGTCTTGGGAACGGTGTAGAAAGTCAAGAGGAAGACCCGTGCCACAGGCTGGAGGCACCAGTGAGGAAGGGGAGAATAAGGGGAGACAGTTCAAGGAGGGAGGGAAAGGTCTAGAAGCAGCTGGGAGCATCTGGAGCTGGGAGGACACCTGCCCCCTCCTGCCCCAACATCCATGGTGGGGGGGGGGGGGGGGGGGGGGAGCCCCCCCGAGCCATCCGGGCCCCATCACCCACCCTCCCAGGACCCTGGTTACACAGCTGCCAGCTATCACAGGAAGACCTGCCCCATCCCTTTGTCTCCCCCCGGCCACCAGCGACCTGGCTCGTGGCAAGAAGGACCTCATCCTCGATCCCTTAATCCTACAAAGCTCTACCATGGTCCTTTTATCAGCAAGTTTACAGCAATTATAGGCACCAAGTGACAGAATCCCACTCACCAGCTATCACCGAGCACCTGCCTCGTGCCAGGTGGTAGGGGGCAAAGGTGTCCCCGACCTCCAGGAGTTGACGCTCCACCTGGGAGGTGGGCAGAGATGAATTAGGAGCACAGGCGGGGAAATGGCAAAAAGCCAGGCCGTGGAGGCGCGAAGCTATGCCTCTGACGTCTCAGGGAAGGTGGGGGCGTTCAGAAGGCAAACCCACAGTGGGCAGGGCAGGAGGACCGGGTGCCCCACAGGAGCCAAGCTACAGCCCACGCCGCCTCCATCGGGGCTGGAGTCACAGAGAACCACCTCCTCCCCGCCTTGCTGACGGCCCCGGGCACAACTGCACAGACCACACTTTCTCAGGCCAGGGGATGGGGATGCTTGCTTCTCCCCTAAGACCAAGAGACCTGGAATGCCCCCCACTGTGGCTCTCTAAAGCTGACCCACGGCCCAGACCTTGAACCCACTCCCACAGCCACAGACCTGAGACCCCTGTGTCTATGCCCCTCCCCACCCAGGGCCGGTTCTGGCTGCTTGATGAGATTTTACTGGTGTATATTTTTTGCAAAATGTGTCATTTAAACTTAAGAGATAAAAATGAGTGTGGGGA